TTGTTGGCCTGTAGCTCTTCGATTTCCTGCTGGAGATTCGTCTGCTCTCCATTGGTTTTGTGCTTCAGATCCTCCAGCTCGCGCTGCAATTGTTCGTTGAGGCTGCGCAGATTCTCAGAATCATTTGGCAGTGCGGCTGGTGCCTGCTCCTGTTCACTCTTTAACTTGTTCAGTTGCTCTTCGAGACTGAGGCAACGCTCCTGTGCCTTGGACAGCTCCGTCTGGCGTTCCTGCAGCTGTTGTTGTGCATGCAACAGTTCCTTTTGCACCGTATCATTCTGTTCGCTTACGAACTTGGCGTGCTCAGTCTGGCGCGTCAGCTCTAGAGTCTGCTCCTCCAGTGACGACTTCAGTTGCACTGCCTCCGCTCTGGCAGCGGCGACCTCTGAGTCCTTCTCGGCCAGCTGGCTGGCATGCTGTTCCACCTGCTCCTGCAGCACGTACAACTCACACTGCAGCGACTTTAGTTTCTCGCCGCTGTCGCCGTGAGAAGCCAGTGCCGTAGCGAGTTCCTTCTCCAGCTGTTTGGTGTGCTTGTTTAGGTATTCGTTCTCAATTTCAAGTTGCTCGAAATCCGATTTCAGAAGCGTCGAGCTCTTCAACGTCTCGATTTCCTTCTGGAGCGTCTCGTTCGCTTCGAGCAAGCGATGAACATCCGCATTGGCGGCACTCCAGCGCGCCTCCAACGTTTCCAATTGTGTTGCATGAGCTACGCTAGTGGCTTGAGCCTTTTCTAGCATCGCCTGCTCTCGCTCCTTGGACGACTCCAGTTGCTCGCGTAAATTGTGAATGGTTTCCTGCAGTGTCACCAGCTGCTCTTTGCTGCCCTCCAGCTCCGAGCAACGCTCTGTCTGCTCTTCCAGCTGCTGCTTGAGTTCACGTTGCCGTTCACGCACCTCTGAAAGCTGCTGCTGCGCCTGCTCCAAGTCCAGCTGCAAAGTGCTCCGCTGCGATTCCAGAGCGGACTTTGTCTGTTGCAAGCTGTTGAGTTCATCTTTCGCTAGAAGATTTTCCTTTTCGTACGCATCACATTTGTCCTGCAGCGTGCGGTGATCGTGCTCCATAATCTCCTGGGCATTTTGCAGCTTCGAGTGCTCGTCGAGCACCTGTTGCAGCTTGGTCTGCAGCCTGGTGAGCTCCTCCTGCTGCTTCTGCAAGTGATTGTTCTGCTCCTGCAGCAGACAGTTGTGCTCGGCCAACTTGCTGTTCTCGCGCTCAATCTCCACGAGCCGGGCCGTCGACTGCTCACCCTTGGCATTGTGCTCCAGTTGCTGCTGMTGCAAGTCCTCAATGTGTGCCTCCAGCTGTTGTTTTTCGCTCTGCAGCTGTGTCTGCGCACTTTGCACTTCCTGCAGGTGCGTTTGCATCGTTGTGATCTCCTCGAGTATTACATTGACGCGCTCCTGCAGCTCCTGCTTCTCTCTGCGCAGCTCCTCAACGCCGGCCAACTCTGCCTTGAGCTGCTCCAGGCTGGCTGTCTGCTCGCTGTGCTTTGCCTGCAGCTGCTCGTGTTGTTTTTTCAGCTTGTTCAGTTTGTTGCCGCTCGCCTTGAGCTCTTTGTCTTTGGCCAGAGTGCTGGATTGGGCTTTGCTCAGCTCTTCATTGAGTGCTTCGATCTGCAGCCTCAACGACGCTATCGCCTCCGATTCGCTGTTGCTGCTGCTGGCGTATTGTTCGCTCAGCACCTGCAGCTCTCGTTGCAATTTGCGCGTTTGCTCTTCGGCAGCGGATTTCTCCACACTTAAGGCGGCTACCGTTTCCCGTTCCACTTCGAGACTCTTTTCGGTCTCCAGCGCACGCTGCTCTTGCTCCACCAGCCGCACTCTGGCGTCCTCCAGCTGGCTCTGCACCTCTGTTAACGTCAGTTCGTTTTGCTGGTTGCGCTGCACTATTTCGTTTAACTGCTTGTTATGCAAACACAAATCTTGCAAACTCTGATCGCTCTCCAGCTTCAGCCTGCGGAGTTCCTCTTCCAGTTCAGCCACTTGCTGTGCCTTCTCCGCATTCTCGTTTCTCAGTGTGTTTAGTTGTTCCTCCAGTGCCGACGCCTTGGCATCTGCATCTTGTTTGGCATTCTGCAGCTGTTCCTTCAGGTCTCCCGCTTCGGTCACATGAGACTTGGACAACTCCAGTTCACTTTCTAGTTTTTCCAGCTTCTCCTGCAATCGTCGTAGTTCATTTTGATTGTGCTCCAGTTGAGACTGCAGTTGCTTTTGCTGCTCAGCGCTTTGTTGCTCCTTTTCCGTGTGCTCTACTCTCAGTTTGCTCAATTCCTGCTCCGCTATTTGTAGCTGGGCATCCGCTTCCTGTTTGGCATTTTGCAACTGCATTAATTGCTCTTTCACATCGCCGGCTTGAGTGTTCCGGCTGTTGGCCAGCTCCAGTTCGATTTCCTGCTGTTTAACCTTTTCATTCAGCTGTTGCACTAGGCCTTCTTTTTGCTCTAGCTCAGATTTGGTTTTTTCCAACTGTGCCGCCACTTGTTGATTCGTTTCTGTGAGTTCCGATTTCAGTGAACTCAATTGTTGTTCGGTTGCAGCAAGTTTTGCTTCTGCCTCCTGTTTGGCATTTTGCAGCACCTTCAGTTGCTCCTTTAAGTCATTTGCCTCGATCTTCCCACTATTTGCCTGATCGAGCTCAGCTTGTTGTTGTTTTAGCTTGTCCTGCAGCTGTTGTACCTCCTTCTCCTTGAGCTCTAACTCGGCTGCCATTTTCTTTTGCTGAGCAGCCAACTGTTGCTCCTTTTCCGCGTGTTCGCCTCTTAGTGTGCTCAGAACATGCTCCGATGCAATTAGCTTAGCCTCTACTTCCTGTTTTGCGCTTTGTAACTTCTTGAGCTGTTCCTTGATATCACTCGACTGTGTTTCCCGGCCATTGGCAATTTCCAACTCAGTCTCCAGTTGCTTTACCGTGTCCTGCAGCTGGCGCACCTGGGTTTCCTTATGCTCCAGCTCTGTGTGTATAGCTTGTTTAGTCTGCGCCAGCAGCAGAACATTTTCCTCTTCCTGTTTGCGCAGCGCAGCAATTGTATTGTTGGCCTCCTCATTATTCTTGGTGAGCTGCTTCAACTGTGCCTCATGCTCCGCCAGCAACTTTTGTAGTTTCGCCAGCTCGTCGTTTAATTCCTGCGCGGGCTGACTGCCATTAGAAGTAGGCGCCGTCACTGGCTTTATTATTGGCTCCTCCAGATCGATCAGCTTATCAGCTGCGTCCGCCTGACCACGTTCCAGTGCGGCTGTAACATTATCCGGATTCTCGCCTAATAGCTTCAATTTGGTCTGGTAGGCTTGCATCTTGCAGCTCATGTCGTCCATTTCAATGCGCAGCGCCTCCTCCAAATGTGCCTTGGCCTGCTGCTCCAGCGTACATTGTTCACGTAGCTCGCTTATGCGACGTAACGCCTTATCCTGCGTCTCCACAAGCACAGCCTGAAATAGAAATGTAATTAGACTCTACGTCGATTTTCTATGCTCTAAATTCAAATGATTCTTTATCATACCCGCGCCTTGCTGCTGTCCCGCTCCAGTTCCTTGTACTTTTTGGCCAAGTCCGTGTACCGGCAGCGATATTTGTGATAACGATCAAGCGACTTCTTGTATGCATCGTACAGCTGATCCTTGGTGATAACATCCAGACGTGCTGTCGAGGCGGAGTCATCGAACTCGCTGCTAGTCTCATCCAAATCGGACTGCAAGTGGTACGTCTGTTTTTTGAGAGCAACATTAGTTCGAGGTCAAATGAGTCGAGCATGCGACGCCCACGCACTTACCGCTGGCGCATCATATGTGGGCAAACGGAACGACACATCGCTGGCCATGGACGAGTTGGAGAGCTTCCGAGTGCGCGGTATTGCGCCGCTGCCCATGCCATTCAGTGACTGTGTCGATGCACGGCCACCGCGCGGCAGCTTCTGTATGCGATAGGGAGAGTTTTGAGGCGTGTCTATACATTTGGCAAAAAGAAACCAATATCTTTATAGAGCTGATAAGAAAATGAATCGTTAACAATTTTACCCTCTTCCGTGATGCTGAAGAAGTTCTCATTAGTACCGGTATCGGTATTTTCTGAGCTTGGTGTTGTTGTGCTGGACGATGAGCTCACGGCGGCCTACAATAAAGCAAACCGATAAAATTCCCTTGCATGTGTGTGTGTGTGTGTCATGCGGCGTGATTGTGTTGTGTATGGGTGTGTGCTAGGGGGGTTGGGTGTGCACCCAGCTGCCAGTTTCATTCAAATGGGTCAAATTAAATAGAACTATCCAATTGCATTGACTGTTTTGGACGCATCACCTCCCCATTAGGACAAACACACACACACACTAGTAAACACACACACACATAAACAGTTTGCTTGTGTGCGTATGTTTTCATTAATTTGCATTTTTTCTATCTTGCCTGGGCTGCATTTGCAAATTGTTGGAATTTGGACGGCGACGCTTTCACCTCCTCGATGAGTTTATTTTTCAGATTGGCAAACATTGTGTGGCACCTGCTGCACTTGTTATTTACTGCGTTGACTACTTAATTTAGGCACAATTGAATTTATATAAAAAAACATCTAATATAAATAAATACGTGTCTGCAGTTCTTGCTCCAATTGCCACTCTGTTATAGCTAGCGCGATGTGGCAACACTCGTAATAGTGTGACCATATATCAGATACTGCTACATTTGGTATTTTGTTGGCACAATTTGGTCCGCTTGAAATTAACGGCTGTAATGGTCGCAAAAACACGAGAGAATTTGAATTTCCCGTTTTAACTGATTTTAATTGCGAATTTAAACAGTAAATATACAAACTCACCTTTTCATTTAGGCAATGCACGAAAAAAATTAAGCTGTGTTTACTATTCACTAAGGTGCATATAAAATATTCTATCATCTTCTAAGACAGGAGGCAGAAAATTTGAATTGTGAATATTCTGTAAAACACAAAACGATCAGAATTCTGTCAGATACCCAACATAGTCATAAATGTATACATCCAAGCATACGCATAGACATCATACAGCATACACAATAGTTGTTTTGAAAAGAAATATTTTTCGACTTAAGCAGTACACATATACATATAGATTTCTATAAAACATTAATTCCTGCCGGTACTAAATTGTATGTTGCATAGGTCGAAAATGTTAGTCAATAGTTTTGTATTTACGCGCGCATTCAGCGAGTTCAGCGCAACGGCTTTGTTTATGATTATTAGCTGTATGGGCGGTGCTACGAACGACCAGGATGGCGCCGGATCTTTAATCTCCAGCATGATCTACGGACTGGCCACTGTTGTGGTAATGCATATCTTTGGATTTATATCGGGTGCACATGCCAATCCGTGCGTGACAATCGCTTGCTGTCTACTCGGCCACATCGGGTCCAGCATGATGTTCACCTACATTTTCTGCCAGTTGGCCGGAGCAGCTTTTGGATACTTTCTGCTATTGCAAATGCTATCGCAAGGTTTGACCATTGGCGTTTGTATTGTAGAGCCATTGGATAGTCTGTCCAATGTACAAATCGTGGCCATTGAGGCCTTCCTCACGTCGGTACTGATACTCGCCTGGAGCGCACTGTGGGATGTACGTAGCGGACGCTTCCTCGACTCGGTCACCCTACGTATGGGCTGCCTGGTTACCCTATGCAATTTGGCAGGCGTAAGTCTCTTTCGACTTTTCGCTCTCATCTCTGTTCTCTTAATGTATTAATTTGTAGGGCAAGCTCACTGGTGCCTCTATGAATCCAGCCAAAGTGCTCATTCCACAACTTTTCAACGGAGATCCGGAGAGTATATTGCTCCAGCTGGGCGGACAAATGTTAGCTGCCTTCGTTGTGCCTCAAATTTGGCATTATGCCTACACACCATGCTATAGACCCCTACTCATTGAAAATGCCGAAATAAGGAATAGGTATCTCCAACCATAAGCTTTTTTTTTTTTTTTTTGATACTTGACGAAATAAATACATATGTATATTAAATATGTATGTGCACATCTCTACAAAATTGTACTCAATGATCCACCGGCTGCCATTGAAGCAATTAGCTGTTGCCCCGCCAGGCCATGGCATGTGGCATATGAGTGCAGCTTTAGTGCCTACGAATGTCTAAGATAAATTTAAAATGTGAGATAAATTTAAATTTCTTTAATTGCGCTTATCTACGTAGCTATCACATTTGCTAATACAACTAATTTAAAATAATTTATTGCCTAACGGCACAGAAGCCATTGTAACATGCTGCCAACAAGATAAGATTCGATAAAAATTATATGGGGTTCCATCTGAAATAGCAGCAGAGTTTCTGCTTCTTTGTCTCTAAAGCAAAATATGTATGTACATATGTATATGAATATATGTCTATATATTTAAAGGGGGGTTAAATATTTCTTGTTGTTTCTCTTCTTATAATCTGAAAAAAATTGATTTGCACTTACCAAATTTTGACTCTACCATTTCAAAAGGAAAATCAAAACATTGATGAATTTGAACTCTATCGGGCTTTACTAATATATATTTGTAATGTAAACTGCATAGAATATACACATTTTCTTTACGTCTCTTACTCACTAGATTGATGCTAAGCTATGTGGTACATGCTCATCCTTAACTTAACTTTAGTTATTTTGATTTCGAATTATAGCTAAACGTCTGTCGGATACATACGAAATTCTGATACATCTATGTAAATATATATGCCCAGTGGATTATTGGGATATATGCACAGATCAAGACTAACTACGGCTGCGAAATGTTCACTTTGCTTGGTCTTTCTGGCGTATTTCTAAGGCCGTACTTGTAGGCTAATGAAGTGATTAGCGACGCTACCAAGGGGGCGACCCAGTATATCCAATGATGTTCCCAGGAGTTGTTCCACACAGCTGGAGCAAACGAACGAGCCGGATTCATGCTGGCGCCAGTGTACTGGGCCTGTAGACCCAAAGGCAAATCAATTATACAATTCTAATGTGGAGGCGTGGCATTATATACGTACCCCAGCTATGGCTATGCAGCCAATTGTGAGGCCAAAGCGAATCGGTATAGAATCCTTTTGCTCCGCATTGCGCTGATCCCAAATACCGCAGCACACACAGATCAGAACAACCGAGATGAGGAACTCAATGATGAAGCCCTGCCAATAGGGTAAGTTGCTGGCCACGAAGGTCACACAGGCACCCCTGGGGGTCAGCTCGTTGGTCATCATATTTTTGGGCAGCGATGCAACCAGCAGGCCGTAGCCAACAAGGCCTCCAAGTATCTGGGCCACAACATAGTAAATGGCCATGAACCACGTTATCTGCTCGTACACCAAGCTGGCCAGCGTCACGGCGGGATTGATATGGGCGCCCGACACACAGCCAAAGCACTGGATGGCGATGAGCACGGCGAGACCAAACGCGAATGAGGCCTGGAACGCGGAGTTACTGATCGACGGTGAGTGTGTGCAGCCCAAGCAGCCGACGTAAACCAGAATGGCTGTGCCGAACAGCTCTCCAAAGAATTTCGCAACATGTTGGAGCACCTCATTCCTGCAAGAGATAGATGGATCGAACAGAGATCTGGATTAGAACCTGGACTTTAACAACCAGCAAATTGCAGCAGACAGGCGCCCCTGAGTGCACTTGCCTCGTCTTCACACTTTGCTCGACCATTCTGCCAGCTACGTCGTTCAACAAATATCAATCGCAACGTTTTCGCCCCACGCAGTTCAACGCGCAACTGAAGACAGCGAATCTGACTCGGAGACTGCACCGTCGCGTCGGTGGTCGGTGGTTGTCGGTGGTTGTCGTTGCCCGATTAACGTAGCTACTCGACCTATTGACAGGTGCTTGCAATGCTCCACGCCTCACCCGCTACCCCCCACAGCCACATTCCAGCAATAGGCATTAATCTTCAACAAGGGCCATTATCAATTATCGAATTATCAAATGCTAAACCCAATTATCAGCTAACTCTACATATATATACTTATATATGTTCCTAATTCTTAATATTACTATGCCACTAAAAATTTTGATAACCATCTTTCAAGCTGTTGGAAAGCACTTCAGAAAACCAATTGGTTATATTTGCTATTCCGTTCAGTGATATGCATTTATGCCCAATAACATTCCTGATTAGCAAATCCGTTTGGAATATGTGATTAAGCATAGCTGCACAGTTGCTACGACTACTATATACCCTAACCATGTGTGGAATATCATAGCTCTAATAGATAGTTACCATAACTGATGGTATACCCGAACCAATCGTAAGATTGGTTCACCTATGTTTCTTCTTCTTGTGGAGTTGTACTTCCATTGTAAAACTAACATAAGGATATCACTTGTTTGATCATGTCAATGTTTGTCTACTAGTTCTTATGTGGAATATAATAATCTAGTTAAGCTTAACTTAAACGACTATCACATATCCTAACCTTAAGTTGACTTAAGTTTATATAAAAGTTCGGCTTCTGTACATTTCATTGTTAAACTTAGCTCGAGTGGAGAGTTGGCACGACTAGCACATACCCTAACCAACAGAAAGTATATCACTCTGCTTCGATCTGTTCTACATAAAAACTTAATGACACGTTTTATTTGCCGGTTTTTCTTAGAGATCGTACCAAGAATTTTATATAGGCTTATCTTTTAAATTATTGTTATTTTGTTTGCCAAATTTATAGGTGCTCAGCGTGCACAGTTCAATCATGTTTCAAATGAGTTTCATGACACTGGTATAAAAAGTTTTATGTTATTTTTAGGGACGGAAAAGTGATATCAATCAAAAGTGATATTGACACAATCTATCTCTCAGCATGACGTACGACAGAGGGCAGAAGAAACAGAACCAAAAAAAAAAAGAAGGAATAGAACAATAATATGAACCTGAATCATTCTCACCTTGGCATTAACTTCATACTAGTCTGTCGCTTTCGTCGTCCACTTTGAGTTACTCGCACTGATTACTGTAAGTACTTGTATACCCTTACTTTTAATTTTGTAAAAATTGGCAAAAAAAAAAAAATAGCAAAAGGCTAAATAAAATATATATATAAAACAATTTCTGAATACCTACAAACAATTTATCTGAATGACTGACAGCTTTTTCTACAGCTGAAATCCCTTTTTTGATGTCCAGTCATGTGGCGTTTGTTGCTCACAAGTTGGCTGGGTTTTTTTTTTCCGGGCGTTATCAAGTAAATAAAAATATGATAATTATAATACTAAYAATAAAAAATCATATTGATCTATCTTCAAGCATGTCGAACAGTTTAAAGTAGTAGATTAACTACTTTTCCATTCTGTCCCCGATAGACCTTGGCGTCTCGGCAAGCCAGACAACTCTAATGTGCTGATCTCAATGACACAAATGAATATGTCTGTATATGTACACACAAATATCTGATAGCTGTCCTGACGTCGAGCTATCTTATCGATTGTCGGTCTATTGAGACACTTTCTTTAATACAAGACTTTAATTAGTGTCAGATTTTCAACAATATTTTTTTATAGCACTCTTTTTATTGTCGCTACAATAGTTTCGCTTCTCAGGCTGATAAACATATCGCACACGTTTTTTCTATGATATGGAATCGGAAGAGAAATAAATTAAAGTCGCAGACTATGTTAGTTTTAGTTAATTAATGTGATTATATTAAACTTAAACTTCACTTAAAGCTAATATAGCTTAAACACGTCCGCTAAACTTTATCAATGAAATTGATTTGGGCATTTGAGGTGCGCAGCTCGAGCTCCTCCTCGCTGCGGCCCTTGAATGCCAATCGATAGATGATCGAGGTGATTGCGGCGCCAACCAGCGGACCCACCCAGTAGATCCAGTGGTTCTGCCAGGAATTGTTCCACACCGCCGGGCCCAGCGAGCGGGTCGGATTCATGCTGGAGCCAGTGAACAGGCCCTGTGGGAATCGAAATTGAACTTGTACGAATTACGAATACGCTCTCATTTTACTCATACCGCCGCCAAGTTGAGGCACGAAACTGTCAGGCCGAAGCGAATGGGCACCGAATCCTTCAGCTTGGCATTGCGCGGATCCCACACCGAGCAGGCGACCATGGTCAGGAAGCAGGTGATCAGCAGCTCAATGAAGACGCCCTGCAGCACCGAAATGTCCTTGCTCAGAACTGTGACACAAACGCCCGCCGGCTCGTCCACGCCCACAATGGCGTTCAGGGGCAGCACAGCCTTCAGCAGGCCGTAGCCAATCAAGCCGCCTGCCACCTGGGCCACCAGGTACGCTATGGCCATGTACCAGTTGATGACGCCGTAGATCAGGGCCGCCAGCGTGATTGCCGGATTGAGATGGGCGCCCGAAATGGAGCCGAAGCTCTGTATGGCAATCAGAATGGCCAACCCGAAGTTCAGGCTCAGCTCGAAGTGTGAGTTGAGAAACAGGGGCGTGGTCACACAGCCCATGCAGGCGACGAATATGAACGTGGCCGTGCCCACCAGCTCGCCAAAGAAGGCGGCCACTCGCGCTCGATTCTCGGCGCGCAGCTTGAGGTAGCGCCATCGCGCCCTGGAGCTGGTGGTGGAAACGTTAATGGTTAACCTCTGCTGCGACATGCTAGCCAAATACAACTGAGCCAACTGTCTGCGTCCGTGGGCCTAGTTAGCCTAGTGTTGGCTTCGAGCAGCGCAAGGTTTCGACTTTAAATTGGACCCTAATCAATCAATATGAATTATAAAACCTTAATGCTAATTATTATGAGAATTTTGTATATATTTTTTTAAATTTTTTTTTTTTGCTTAGATATGGGACTTTTTACTATTTGCTATTGTCATCGTGTAGTCAAACCCCATTCTCAAATTAATAGATAATTTATCATGGTTCGAACTCTGAGAATTCCTTACCCACATTGCCACCCGGCGTGCCACTTAATGCCCAATCTTATCACCCCGAGATCTATGAATATGGCGCCTCAACTTGGCCAATACGCGCAGTTATCGCAAAGAACATTTGACTCATGATTGCCAAAACATCCAGTGCTGGCCTACTTTTAGGCGTTCACAGTTCAAGTGGGCGCTATATAAATGTAAAAACTATGTAAGATTAGACAGGATCATCGGAGTAATAAATAAGTCGTAATACTGTTGAGTGAGATTTAGGAATAGATAAGTGTTGATATATGGTATATAAACTGACATATAAGTCCTAGATATACAATATGATGTATAAATCGACATATATGTATGTAGGTTGTATATAGTCTTAGCTACAAGAAATGATCTGAATAATTTTAATTTAAAAATCAATAAATAATAAAAATTTATGATATACTA